GCGTGATGGGGTGAAAAATTTAGTTCACCCGGTTGAAGCCAATTGGAAGCCAATTGAGACCTTTCAGAGTCAGTTGCAAAGTTATCAGTTCATTTGGAGACTCTTGGTGTGTTTACAGAACTTCAGAGTTCATTTGGGTTTTTTTCTAGGGGATAAGAGAGAACCAAACATTGGCAGAGTGTACCTATGGAGATTGGCAATATGTATAAGTCAAATGGTAGTACTTTATTGGCAGTTGGCCTTGTGTGGAGGCGTTGGAGATCCTTCATGGATCATTGTTGGAAAACTCGCATCTGGTGAAAGCTTGATTTCCGCATTTGTCGATTTGAAGAAGGTGTAAACAATCTACTTCAGATCTTGGTGGAGCTTTGGGTTTTTTGTTCAATGTCTATTTGAGGCATTGTTGTTGGCGGTCTTTCACGGATACTGGTGACATTTCAAGAGTCATGGTTTATTGAGGATGTCATTATCACAGCTGGGATCTATGATCGTGTCTGATTAGATCCAGGGGTTGTCGGTTTGTGTGAGACTTGATTGTTTCTTCTTCTTGTGGATTTTCATTTTCGCAATCTGTTTCATATTTGAAGACTCAGCTTTTGGTAGTCTGGGTGACGATTCAGACTCTGGGTGTTTGCTTCTCTGAAGCGGTTTGACCGTTGGTGTTCATTAAAGACTTGGAAGGATTGTTTGGCGGAGAAACATGAAGATGGTGATTTATCAATCTCATGTGTTAGGATCCATCCCTTAATTGCCGTTTGATTTGGAGGGGATAGATCGTTATGCAGACTCGGTGGAGTCAACGGGAACTGTTGGGTTGTGCATTTACGGTGTTACGGCTTTGGATGAGTTTTTTGGCAACTGTGAAGATGGTGCATCTCTTGTGTTTGCGTTGGAATGGCAGTTGGAGGAATCTGGGTTTGCTCGACACCTTCAGAATTTTTGGCTCTTTGGTATTTGTTGTAAGTTCAATTTGACGTTGTTTCGATACTTCTGAACTAGTTAGAGTAACTGCTCCAAGTCAGTTTTGTTTGGTGGAAGAACTTGCCTCAGATTCTCCGGAGATTTGATTGGCTCTCTGAGATTAAATCGAAGCGCTTGAAGAGCAGTATTTGTGTTCGATCGGTGAAGCGGACATGAATGGTTTGTGTGTACTAGTTTTCGAGTTGCTTTTGACGGAGAATTTTGAAGCCCAATTTTGTTTTAGTCCCTCAGCTTGGGTTCAAGTGCGGGTTGCTACGCGTTTTGTTTTTGGAGTTGATTAATAGGAGTAGACTTGTTTGGCGGCTATGGAATCGAACCTTGGCATTATGTGATGTGGAGGGCTTGAGATGTAGAAAATGAAGAGCTGCTCGATTGGTTTCTAGCAATGTTCTTGCATTGGGCTCATGTGATTTTAAGCAATGGAATCTGCGTGTGTTTGTTGGAACAATTGCGCTTGTGGTGTTTGTACAGGGTAGATGGCATTCAGTTTGACTGAATGAGTTTGGATACGTTGGGTTTATGGTAATCGGTTTTTTATTCGGGTGGCAGCGAACGCAACCTCTTAATGAAACAACAGTGTTGCGGATTTCGTCAGGCGAGCTCGAGCGTGTAGAAGGAGAGATGTGGAGCCACGATGAGCACTCAAGAAGATGGTGCAGGTACTGCTAGGTGTTGCGATAGTTGGTACTTGTATAGACTTTTTGTTGAGTTGTTTTGGAAGAAAGAGCTACTGTAACCATGCATCTGGTAAGTACAACTGATACATACGCCCATGTAACGCATATCGACTCGAACTGGAGATCAGGATTGCAAAAGGCATGAACATAAGTGTGTGGAAACGTTGGGTAAGTTGTATCAAGACGTGTTAAAGGGCAAATGCTGATGTATCAGGATAGTTCATAAGGAAAAATCGAGCAAAGAAGACAGAGGACGTTGATGGGATAAACCAATGAGTTTTCTATTTGCTCCAATGGACTAGTCCTGAGAGATAAGGCAATGTACAGTCAAGGCCTCTCAGTTAGGGGGTGGCAGGACATCTAGGGTCACATGGATGATAAAACACCGTTGTACAAATATGCCTCCATTCCACCGAGTATCCGGAGTGAATCTGCACTTCCTACTTGGAATGTCTTCAACCGCCACGCATCATCTTGCATGGCTCGCACCTCTATCACCAGGTACTTGCATCCTCCAATAGAATGCTCACCGTTTCCCTGTTGAGGTGACTCCACCCAAACTCTCTGGGTGCCTGTCGCGACTTTACTGCCACGAACTAGATTCCGGACAAAGAAAGAGATTTGCCTCTCCCTGGGTGCGCATTGCAGCGTCTTATTCCTTTCAATTTCTTTGTCTAGAGCTTTCTTCTGTGAACTAGTTGATGCTGCCAGGCCAAAATCCAGCACACTGCACCTTTGTATGATTTTGCTGTGTACGCTTGCACTGTTGTATGTTTGCACCTTGTATGACATTCCTGTGTACTCATCTGTGCTATTGTGACTACGTGCTCCTACACCTTATGTGTGCACTGCTGCAGCTGTTGCCCTTCTACGTTCACATACTACCAGTACTTCTTGTATTATGTTTGACAGTAGCTCCAACTGCCACAACATTCCTATGAGCCTGCACTAGTTGCCAATCATCTATCTGATGAGGTGGACTTCTGATTGAACCAGATCTTCTGATCATATCAACAACCAAGAAAGTTCCCAGGAAAGACTGGTGGGGTCACAACTGGTCCCACTTAAGAACCAGTCTCCTTAGACAGTGTCTTTTTGACAAAACTTTCCTAGACATTGTTGATCTTGAGATAATCATGTGCAATTCTTCTGATCGCCCTTGACCAATCCTAATCTCCATTGATTTTCCATTTGATTAAGCCTGATCTCCTTTGGTCTTCAATGATCTATCTCGATCTGTATCTGGTTGTACAATCTGGTTAGAATCTGCCCATTCCAACCTCTTCAGTGAATCCGCAGCGTTCCACAATATCTGGCAACCTTCCTTCGAGTATTGAAGATGACAAACTCCCATGCTTTGACAATCTTTCAAAATTGTTCAGAATTTCATTATTCTGACCTCGCGGTTGCGTCTGGAGCGGTCCGTTTAGCTAGGACCAACCTTCGCTGCACTTCCGGGGATCTCACTGAAAAATCTCCGCAAAAGTTAGGCCACACCACAATTTTCTGAAAATTCTGGGCCAAATTTTAATTTTCAGAAGTTCAGGAAATATTCCGTGTACTAACAGAATATTCCATCCACTGCCCCTCACGCCGTCCGTCCCTTTAATCTACCTTCTTTTTACAGAAACTCCTTCTCCAAAATCTAACCGTGCGGATGTGTCCGGAATACTCCAAATAGTCGGAAATCACTATTGGATCGCCAAAAAACGGACTCCAAATGGCTTAGATCTAGCCAAAACATTTTGTACGCCTTAGATCTGCGGCTGCACCATAGCCGCGAAGCACCGGATCCGACCTCCGGCGGCTGCACCATAGCTGCGTCGCATCGGATTTTTCTTCAGAGTGATGACGTGGCGAGGACGTGTCTGCCACGCGGAGATGACGTGTCTGCCACGTGGCGATGATTGGACGATGACGTGGCAACCACGTGGCAGCCACTGGCTGACAATTGTGCCACGGGGTGATGACGTGGCGAGATGACGTGGCACGCGTGTTGATGGCGCGTGTATGGCACGCGTTGTTCCCTCAGTCGTTGTCCTCCTTGCGCCGCGCGTGGGGCGCGTGTGCGCGACTGAACCCATGCGCCGGCTTCCTTCACGGCGCGTGTGAGCGCATGGCACGAGTGGTCATCACGCGCCACCTTCTATGGGCACGTGAGAGAGCGTCCGGCCTCCGTTGGGTGTCTGCTTTGTATTTCTGGACTCCTGTCGTCGAGCCCTTGCTCCTGGTATGCTCAAAACATGATTTTGAGCAATTCGATTTTTGGACAGTTTCGAACATCGCACTGTTTTTGTTTCGAAACGCCATCGACGAGGCTCTGATACCACTTGTTGGGATCTGGGATCCCGCCCAAGACCTTATAGAAATCATTGCAAGCAGAAAAACACACCCGCAGACAAGGAGACACAATATTTAACGTGGTTCGGCCTCAAAGCCTACGTCACGGGAGAGTAACCGGTTATCGCTATACCAATGAGGAGATTACAGAAAGATTACAATAGAGGAGGAGCTCACACTCTCCTCACTCATACACTCTCCCGTCTCCCTCGCTCACACCGAGAGAGACGGTCTCTCTGCCTCACATCTCTCACTCTCTTTGTTGTCTCACGGTTTGCTCACATTTTGCTCTCTCCTTTCAACCTCCATTTATAGGTGAGGGAGTAGGTGGGAGAGCCTTTGGGCAGCCTCCATTCTTGACTCTTGAAGATGGTTGGTGGCTGCCAAGGTGGACTTTGGTTGGTTGCCTTCCCATTGTTGCCAACCAATCTTGACTTGGATGATCACCCCTTTCACACATGGGTGAATTCAACACTGTTGACAGCAGTTGCACCCTCGTGGGTCCGTGTTTCCCCTTATTGTCATTGTCTGTGCTGGCTTTGGCTCTCAAAGTTGATATTGCCTTCTTATTGAAGAAAAACATTCTCGTCTTCGCCCCATTGTCCCCACTCCTAGGTATCCCGAGGTTCAGCGCTGGTAAGTTTCTTCCTGGGACGAAAACCGAGTTGAAACTTGGGTGGACAGTTACATTATCGATCCCCACTCGGCTTGCAATGGCCCATGCATTAAGGAATGTGCTGAGTGTGGATGCATCTGCAATCCTGTGTGCAATGCTCACGCCAACCGCTAGTCCACCACACTCGAACATGCTGAGTTGAATTGATAGCAGAGGATCTGTGGTTTCATCAACCGCCCCAGTTTCGCGTGGAATGAATTGATTGAAAAAGTGTGGTTTATCGCCATGGTCAAGAAACTCAAGCAACTAAACATCCACTCGGGCTTCCACATAGTCAACCCCTTGGTCATTACAATAAATGACATGATCGTCTTTGATATACCTTCCGGCTAGCGGGTAAAACTGGGTTAGGGTCTCCACTAGTGATTTTTCTAGCTGGTTAAACGACGAAGCGTTTTTGGCTGTGTCATTGTTGCATTGGGCTGGGTAGTAGAGAATGAAAGGCACGTTCATTGATGGAGCAAGCTCATCGATTAATGATATTTTGTGGTCGCGAAGGCTATGGTGAGTTGGAGTCGATGGTTTTATGAACTTTCTGGATATAATTTCAACCTTCATTGTTGCTTTTTGGTTGAGCTTCCTACTCTTTTATCAAGGAACATAGATAGGTTCTCTAATTTGCTTTGTGTAATGTGTTGGGATAACTTGAATTCTCCTAGAAAGCCCGGCATTTATATAGTGGTGGTGGGATATGTAGATTCAATATTTTTCTTCTTATAAAATATTTTCTGTCTTTTCCAGTAGTTTGTTTCTCCTTTTGCTGGTAATGCAATGAATCATATTTGCTTTCTTTTCCATCACACACACATTTTTAAGTTAAAGAAAGCAAATATGATTTGCTTTCTTTTTCAAGGAGAGAATTTGTGTTCAATCATACATACGTTAGTATAAAATTTTCAGTACTAAAAAAGATGCCGGTTTCTTGTTCCATACACACACAACCACATGATTTCATTTTTAAGTTAAAGAAAATCAAATCATACGGTCATAAGTGATGAGTGAAAAGGACATGCACCTATGTTGGGATTGTTTTCTATATCGAGGGTAAATTTGTGCTTTTGGTCCAAATGAAGTCCCATTGGAAATAAATTTGACTTGTTATCGAGGTACCTTTGTTATTTAAATTACAAACAACCATTCAGAAGGGATCTCAATTAAGTATAAGAAATTTTAGGCAATGTTTGTTTCGCTCCGTAAGGTGGAGGGGATTAAAAGTACAATTAGATCAAGTGAGGAAATTATTAGTATGGTGATATTATGTTAGAGATGTAGGATAAATAGTGTTTGTTTGTACACCAACGGATTAGTAATACTATAGATAGTATTAATATATAAATTAAATATTTTTTAAGTTTTAGTATTTTTTTTAATATTATAATTATTTTTTTATTCTAAAAAATATATTTTTTGCTTAAAAATTATTTAAAATGTCACTAATCCCTTCACTCAATTTCTAATCCCAACCCTCCCATGACTTTGTTAGTCCTACCACATGGGGAATTATTAGTCCAAGGAGATAGTTAATCCCCTCAATCATATCCCTAACCAAACACTCTCTAAGTGAGTCTCATGAACTATTAGTTCAATCTCCTTTTTTTAAAGAGTCAAACAAACATGAC